GGTAGACCTGCTCGTGTAGACTGCCCTGAAGAAACGCAGTGGAGAAGTCGAGGGAGTGAAGCTCGTAGTCACGCTGAGCTGCTACGTGTAGCAGCACCCGAAGAGTAGTCAAATTCGGGGTCAGAGCGAAAGTCTAAAAGAAGTCCACCCCCGCACGCTGACTGAAGCATCTAGCCACGTAGCGCGCCTTGAACACAGGCGGCTCTCCGGGAGGGCGCTTCACCTTGAAGAGTCAGCGGCCATCGACTATATTCACCCCTGGTGGGGGAACTGCGTCGACGTAGGTGCCGATGGATCTCCAAGATGCCATCTCCTGCTCCATGGCAGCTATCCATTGAGAGGCCCAAGGTCCCGAGACCGCCTCAGCGTAAATGCAAGGGGTCGAGATGTCGAAAGCGTCTGGGTCACCCTCAGGGACTAGCAGCATGGAACAGAGATGGGGAGCAGCCTCGGACAGGAAAGCAAGCTCGTACGGGCGGTCCTCCAGGACGTCATTGCTGAGGGCAGGAGCACCCCCGACAGACGAAGGACAGGCAGGGTCAGAGACCAGAGCGGTGGCGTAATCACGGCGGCGGGTAGAGGCGAAGTCAGCGACCGCAGCGACAAGAGCGTCAAGACGCGAAACCGGAACAGACGGGTCGTTAACGAGAGAGGCAAGGACCCGAGGAATAAGAGGACGAGTGGCACGAAGGTAATCAGACAGAGGGGGAGGCGCAACAACAAGGGAGGACGGAGAGGCGACGGCAGGAGGGGAGGAGAGACGCGTGGAACGAAGCAACATAGGGTGAGAGTGCCGGGACAAGGGGAGACAGGGCGAGCACGGGAGGGACGGCAAGACCAGACGTGAGACGGAGGCGTCGGGTCAGGAGACAGAGGAGGAGACACAGGAGGGGAACGAGGGGGAAGATGAGCCGGAGACGATTCCGGGGGAGGGAGCACAGGGCCGTAGACATGAGGAGGGGACGGTAGGAGAGGAAAAGACGCAGGTCAGGAGACGAAGGCCGAGCAGGCGAAGGCTGACACCGGCGGTGACTGCGGCTGCGGTGGCACAACACCGACAACGGGGACGCAAGCTGCTCCACGGCTACCTCCGGAAAACTCCACTCCTGCACCCCCAGAAGGAACACCCCCAGAGCCCGAAGCCCCTCGAGCAGCGGTACCACCCCCAAGGCCCGTACCCACCCCAACGCCAGCACCCCCAGAGTCAACAAACTGCTGCTGCGATGGCTGCGGCGACAGCGGCTGCAAGACGTCGGCGTCGGCGGCGGTGACGGCAGCTGCGACAGCGGTGGCGACGGCGTCTGTGGAGGCGGCGGAGGAGGAGACACCTGGGGAGGGACAGGCGGCGAGGATTGTGCCCCAGGACCACCAGAGTCAGCAGACTCCTCGACCGGGACAACCGACGTGAGGGGGGTGACGTGGGACACACCAGACGGTGCAGGACGGGGAGGGGAGGGGAGGGGCAGGGGCCACCGGGGAAGGGGGGACCAGGAAGAGGGGGGGAGTAGCTGGGGACCTCGGTGGGGGAAGCAGCGGTAGAAGGAGACGGACTCGTCAAATGTGACGTCGCGGGAGTGAAAGAACCGGTGAGACTGCGGGTGGTAGAAGTGCCAGTCGGACGAGTCTAGGGGGAAACCGAGGAAGACACAGGGGAGGGTGCGGGCAGTGAGCTTGTTCGTGCCTGAGGCACAAACGTGAGCAAGGCAACCCCAGACGTGGAACGCAGACGCGTCACCAAGAGACCTGGTCCAGAGGAGGGTCGGCGAAACCTGCGGCTGCTGGGGGTGCGGCCACAGGTTGAAGCTGGTGAGCGGCGTAGCGAACGGCGAACGGCCACAGAAAATGGGGTGCACCGCATGGCTCATGGAGGTACGAGCCACCTCCATGACCAAACCGATGCGTTGCTCCGCGACCCCATTCTGCTGCGGGGAGTTCGGCAAGGTGAACGTCTGGGTGATGCCCTCCGCACGACAGAAGCGACCAAGAACGCCGGAGGCAAACTCGCCGCCACGGTCAGAGTGGAGACGCAAGACAGGGAGACCGCGGTAGACACGCGCAGAGACAAGCCACGGGATGAGAACGTCAAGCACGTCGGCCTTCCGCTCAAGGGGAAAGACGGTGGTGTAGCGGGTGTAGTCGTCGACAAGCACTAGGAAGTAACGCTCTCGACGCGGTCCATGGACGGGGGCGGGGCCCCAGACGTCCATGTACAGGGTCTGTAGCGGTGCGGTGGTAGGGGGGAACGAGGAGGAGTGAGGGGCACAGCGGAGCCGGCCCTCGACACAGGGCGTGCACGGTGGTGCTGGGGAGGAGGGCAACTTGGGGAACTACCCTGGGAGACTAGGACTAGACCGTGCTGTGACATATCACGCAGACGCAGGAGGGCAGTGTGACCTAGACGATGGTGCCACAGTAGTGTCGGGTGAGTGAGCGATCGACAGGAGTAGGCAGCAGCAACCTGGGTAGACGCAGACACCTGAGAAGACATCCCAACTGGGGGGGTCGCGGTGTCCAGTGTGAACAGTCCAGACACCGGGTCACGGGGGAACGTGGTGAGGGGAGCACCAGTGGCGGCCTCGATACAGACAGCGTACCGCTCGTGACCAGGGAACGTAATGGTGACGCCAAGGTCTGGAGGCAGCCAACACCCACTAGGTTCCTGGAGAACGAGGGGATGTGCAGGCTTATAAGAGAGCCCGAAGGAACCGCCGGACAGGGAAGGGTGGTGGAACTGCGGGCGACTACCGGGCCGGAGGAGGGGCCGCAAGGGAAACTACAACAGGAGCATGAAGCGGTGTCAGCGTAGTGGAGTCGCGAAAGAAACACCGAGAAGCGCCAGAGTCCAAGGTGAAGGAGAGTGTGGGAGTGACGTCTGGAGTTGGAGCAGCGACAGAAGAACCAAGGCTAAACAAAACAGGGGATCCTACGCCTGACGCAGCAGGGGAGACACGACTAGACACGCCTACACTAGGCACAAGGGGTAATAAGAAACAGTCATACTAGAGTCTTCAGCATACATCACATGCAAGGCAGCTACAATCTCATCCATGTCCATATAAAAAAATCTGGACGCTACGGCGAAGCAAGCTGTGCCAGTCGGGGAGGTCGGGCGACGGGCCGAAGCGCTGACGAAACAGGTCGTCCAGGCGACGGAAACAACGAACGGATGTGTGACCGATCTTACCGCAAACAAAGCCACGGCGAGGACCGCTCTGAAGCAGGTACTGGCAGCGCCCGTCACCCGAACCACCACCCGACAGCCCACCACGCGCACGACCACCACGTCCAGCGCCACCACCAGCGCCAGGCCACCCGAGCGGGAGACCACCTGCCCGCTGCTGCTGCTGCGGCTGCTGCTGGGGGTGCGAGGGCTACAGCTGCGGCTGGTGCGTGTCCGGCTGCGACACCTGCGGCTGCTGAGGCAGCTGCTCGGCTGCACCTGTCAGGGTCCCCTCGTCAGCGCTACCACTAGGCAACCCGACTCCACCACCACCCCCACCGCCGCGCCCAGCCTTAAAGCTGCGGCCCTTCCCAGAACGGATCTACGCTGTAGCTGCAGACTCGGCCACAGAAGCAGAACTGTCGGAGAAGGTGCACTGAGCGAGGGCACAACCCTGAAAGATAGGGACCGGCACAGTACCGCTGGTCTGGGCGATAGTGCGCTGATGGGTCCTCTATGGCAGACAGGGTGTCGACAAAGTCAGTGAGGGTGAGGCCACCGGGGTGGATGCTAAGGAAGCGGTCACGGGCAGTAGCAAGACGGTCAGGGAGGCGGTGGCAAGCAAGTAGAGGGTAGAGCAGAGGGGCGGCTGAAAGGCTCTAAGCTAGGTCTCAGTGCAGGCAGAGCGCCAAGTCGCATCTATCGTGCGTAGGTGAGCGGCTAGGTCAGCGACAGTGGGGAAAGACGCAAGGTCAGGAAAGAGCATGGGCAGGATCAGGCGATCTACAGAGGCAGCGAGCGGGGTGGAACATCGCTTTACAACAGCATCTAGGAACTCTTGCGCAGTCGTAACCGACCGAAAGCAAGGGCGCTCAGACAGGGGGAGGGCATGACTGATCGCAAGCTGTGCTACGGCGTCATGCGACAACCAGACTGAGCGGGCAAGGGCAGCAGCTGCAGCGGACTCACGGTCAGCGGACGAGGGGTCAGCGGGCAGGGCAGCAAGGGGGTCAGGACAGGGAAGCGTACCATCAAGGTGGACCGCCAGGGAGTGGCCATCCTGCGCTGACCAGTAAGATGGCGGCAGAGGTCGACCAACCACGTGTCAAACTCGAGCGGCTGACCCTCTGCGTCGAAGCGGAGCACGGAGTCCGCCATCAGGATCAATGCAGCAGCGGTGCAGTGCAGTGCGGAGCGGTGCAGTGCGGTGCAGTGCGGTACTGTACGGGGCAATGCGGTACTGTGCGGTGTTGTGCGGTGCAGTGCGGTGCTGTGCGGTGCAGTGCGTTACCGAGGGGTGAGGGGCGGTGCAGTGCGGTGCGGTATGGCGCGCAGTTACACAATGGACGCTTGGGTCGGCGGCGGGCCGGCGGATGAGAAGGACGGGCGCGGGGGCCGACTAGGAACGGGCGCACAGGGCCGGCTAGAGCGGGCGCGAGGGGCCAGCTAGAAACGGGCGCAAGGGGCCGGCTAGAACGGGCGCGCGGGCCGGCTAGGAACGGGCGCAAGGGCCGGCTAGGAACGGGCGCGACAGCGCGAGGGGACGGCTAGGACGGGCGCGACGGCTCAGGGGCCGGCTAGGAACAGGCGCGACGGCTACGGGGCCCGGCTAGGACGGGCGCGACGGCGCGGGGGGTGGGGGGGGGGGGGCGGCTAGGAAGGGCGCGACGGCGCTAGGGGCGCAAGGGGCCGGCTAGGAACGGGCACGAGGGGGGCTAGGGCCTAGGGCGGAAGCGCGGGCGGGCTAGATGGACCTAACCTACTCATGATACCATGTTAGAATGAGAGAATGAACTAGAATTGGAGAGTACAAGGTAATATAACCTAGAAGCTGTACCCTCTATGACACAAACCTATACAGTCTATACAAACATAACAATATATGTTTGGCGTGGTACGCATGTTGGGTTATCGGCTGCCCTCGCATTCCCTGGAACCATGTTCTCGTTGAGATGAGATGAGGCGTGGCATTTTTGGCGTTAACCCTCCTTTTCGCAAATCAGCATTTGCTGTTGGATTTTAATGGATGGTATTTGTCTAGCTGTGATGTATCGATGCAATGCCTCATGCTAGGCATGCTATCTACGTGACGCTGGCCTGCCCTTGTCCTTCTTCCCCTTGCCCTTGTTGACAGCTGCTTCTGCCTCCTCCTCAGCTTTCTGCTCAGCCTCAAGCTTCTCCAGCTGGAAGGGTTCAAAAAGGATGGCCGCAGAGAGGAGAGAAATTGCATAAGCATCAAAAGGTGGAACTTGCAATGGTGTGGAGCTAAGTTACCGGAATGGCGACACATGAGGATGAGGCACTGACCTCAGTAAGCACGGGCAGCAGGTCGCGGTAGCGCGCCTCGCAGAGGTCAAAGCCATCCTTTCGCAGCTCCTGGGGGCGCGAGGCAGCAGCCAGGGGAAAGGGGGGAGCAAGGCGAGCAGCAGCATGACAGCTCTGGCATACGCCCATGCCATACTAAACTGCTGCTCGCAAGTTCCTGCATGAGCCGGCGCGCCTCACAGGCACTCACTCTGCTCCTTGTTTGAGCAGGCGCACCAAACGGCACTGCCGTGCAGTGCATGTGGCACACATGTACAGACTTGGCTGATGATCGCCACACCCCACTCGATGGATGCCCTTTGGGATGCCATCACCCACCCCACCAGCCCCATCATCACACTCCCCTGACAGAGAGCTACCAAAGACCATCACACACATGTGGCACACCATCAGACACATGTGGCACGCCATCACACACATGGGGCACACCATCACACACATGGGGCACACCATCACACACATGTGGCACACCATCACACACATGTGGCACGCCATCACACACATGTGGCACACCATCACACACATGTGGCACACCATCACACACATGTGGCACACCATCACACACATGTGGCACACCATCACACACATGGGGCACACCATCACACACATGTGGCACACCATCACACACATGTGGCACACCATCACACACATGTGGCACACCATCACACACATGGGGCACACCATCACACACATGTGGCACACCATCACACACATGTGGCACACCATCGCACACATGTGGCACACCATCACACACATGGGGCACACCATCACACACATGTGGCACACCATCACACACATGGGGCACACCATCACACACATGTGGCACACCATCACACACATGGGGCACATCATCACACACATGGGGCACACCATCACGCACATGGGGCACACCATCACACACATGGGGCACACCATCACGCGCCTGCATCACGCCATCACGCACCTTGCCAGTGCGCTGTGTGTGCTGGTAGGCCTCACGCTGCCAGTGATCGCCCGTGCGAGCAAAGAAGTCTCTCAGCGACTCGCCGGGCTGCCACGCACGCAGCACAGGCAAGGCGGGGGGGGGGGGCAGGAAGTGGTGAGGGGGCACGCTCGGCAACAGACAAGGCGACGCGTTCGACTGCAGCAAGTGTGGGGTGGAAGGAGTCAAGTGTGGGAAGGAAGGAGTCAAGTGTGGGGCGGAAGGAGTCAAGTGTGGGGTGGAAGGATTCAGGCAGCTGACTACTCACAGCTGGCGTCCTCTCGGTGTCTGCTAGCCCCAGATCCGCTCGGATCCGGTCAATCTCCGCCCGCCTCTCCTTGCGTGACAGCTGGCGCTTGCCGCCCGCAGGGCCCTCGCCCCTGAGGACCGCCGCTGCCAGCTCCGAGGCCGTGGGGGCGCTGCCCGTGCCCTGGCGGGTGGGAGGTGTTTGGAGGGCAGCGCACACTATGTTGTGTTGACATGCAGGCGCATGCTGTAAAGCATGGGGTGCCGTGGGTGGTAACAGCAAAGTCATTCATTCGGAGGATGGTAGTGACAGTGCAGAGGAACCTTGGTGGCAACAGACGAACCAGGACACACCTTTGCTGAAGCGTCATCGTCGCTCGACTCATTCTCATCCTCATCCTCATCTTCGTCGTCCTCCCCCCCACTGCCCTCCTCACCACTCTCATCGTCCTCCTCCTCCTCCTCCTCCACCCACGTGCTCTCAGACCCCTGCACTTGTCTCAAGCACGCACACATGGACGGCAAAAGTACACATGGTGTGCGCCACTATAGGCAATACAACCAAGCGTGTGCATCGCGAGGCATGTGAAATGCGGCTGCAGTGAAAAGACGAGGTGCTGCCCACTGGCAGCCCCAACAAGAGAACACATACCTGTGAGAAGCCATGTCCCAGTGCCCATTAAGCTTGGGGCGTTGCTGCCACGCACCCTGTGCTGCCACGCACCCTGTGCTGCCACGCACCCTGTGCTGCCACGCACCCTGTGCCAGCACGCACCTTGTGGATGCACACACCTTGTGGATGCAGGTCCACGTGTCGAGCTTTGAGAGGTTGAGGGAGAAGAGGTCGTCCAGAGTGACTTCCCGGTCGCCCACCTCCCGCACCCCCCCCCACAGGTACAGCGTGTTGCCGCCCACCGCCAGCCCCGCGTTCATGCGCCCACACGGCCCCTCCACGCGCTCCCCCTTCCCGCCCTCCTCCTTGCCGCCCCCTTCCCCTGCTGCCTCGCTGATTCCCCCTGCCACATCCCCGCCCCGTGCCTCGCTGCCCCCTGCCTTCTCCCGCCTGCCCTCGCCCTCGCCCCCCTCCAGCTCGCCGCTCTCCAGCCTCATCCTCTGCACGCCGCCCTCCACCTCGCCAGCGCCCTCGTCCCTTCCGCTCCCCGCTGCCGCCTGCCCATCCACTCCGCCCCTCCCACCTTCCTCCACCGCCCCCTGCCTGCTCGCATCGCTCGCACCCGCCTCGCACTCACTGCCGCCCGCCCCTCGCTCCAATCCCAGCATTGCATCTCCCCCAGAACTGCCCTCCGCATCCTCGCCCTCCCTCTCCTGCTCGCCTCTTCCCCCCCCACCACTGCCATCCCGCACCTCATCCTCCCCTCCCCCCACTCCTCCTCGCCACCCTCCCATTCCATCCCCACCCCCGCTGCTGCTGCAGCTGCTGCTGCTCTAGACTTGGCCCCCTTCCTCTCCTTGCGCTTCAATCTCTGCTTCTTCCTCCCACTCACCTCCTCCTCCTCCTCCTCCTCACTATCCGCCTCGTTGCCTGGCTGCATGCTCTTCCTCCCCTCCGTCTCCTCGTCACTCTCCTCCTCATCTTCCCCATCTGCCAGTGCGGTGCTCTTCGCCCCCCTGGTCACTTCACCGCCTGCAGTCAGCTGACCAAAGGGGGAGGAGGAAGAAACGGGATGGAGGGAAAAAAGGGGTGGAGGGAAAAAAGAGCGGGAGGGAAACACGAAAGGAGGGACAAAAAAGTGGGAGGAGGGGCAAAGAGGGGAGGAGGGGCAAAGAGGGGAGGAGGGGCAAAGAGGGGAGGAGGGGCAAAGAGGGGAGGAGGGGCAAAGAGGGGAGGAGGGGCAAAGAGGGGAGGAGGGGCAAAGAGGGGAGGAGGGGCAAAGAGGGGAGGAGGGGCAAAGAGGGGAGGAGGGGCAAAGAGGGGAGGAGGGGCAAAGAGGGGAGGAGGGCAAAGAGGGGAGGAGGGGCAAAGAGGGGAGGAGGGGCAAAGAGGGGAGGAGGGGCAAAGAGGGGAGGAGGGGCAAAGAGGGGAGGAGGGGCAAAGAGGGGAGGAGGGGCAAAGAGGGGAGGAGGGGCAAAGAGGGGAGGAGGGGCAAAGAGGGGAGGAGGGGCAAAGAGGGGAGGAGGGGCAAAGAGGGGAGGAGGGGCAAAGAGGGGAGGAGGGGCAAAGAGGGGAGGAGGGGTGAAGAGGGGAGGAGGGGCAAAGAGGGGAGGAGGGGCAAAGAGGGGAGGAGGGGCAAAGAGGGGAGGAGGGGCAAAGAGGGGAGGAGGGGTGAAGGGGGGAGGAGGGGTGAAGGGGGAAAGGAGGTGAAAGGGACTGTGATACTGCTCTCCTGCAGGGCTCTCACCTCCGCCTTCCTGCCTGCGGCCTTGGCCTGCTGCTGTGAGCGCAGCAGCAGCGGGAACCAGCGCCTGGCGTCCATCTGAAAGGCAAACATGTCGTCCAAGAAGATGCTGCGCAGCACATCGCCACCTGCACCCGGGGGAAGGGGGCAGGGGGAGGGGTAAGGGCAGTGCGTGCAGTGAGCGCATGAGAGTCACTGCGGTGCCACGCACACACGGGACGTACTGGGTCAGCTTCTCAGAACTGGGCAAAAGGGACACCAGCTTGCACTGGTTGACAGAGCAGTGCAGCAGAAGAGGAGTGGCAGCAGGTTAGGAAGGGACAAGAAAGTGAGAGGAGGAGGGTTTGGTGGATCAGAAGTGCGTGGCGACGAGAAGAGTCGGTACGGCAGTGCACCTTTCTCCTCTGTGTCCACGACGCCCCCGACGAGGATGGCTCGGCTGCGGTGCACCGCCAAAGAGAAGCCCGCCCGCGCACTCGGGGGGGAACCAAGCCGCTTCACCTGCAGGCGGCGGGCGGGTGGGCAGGCAGGCATGCAGGCGGGAAGGCAGGCAGGCGGGCGGGCAGGCAAGCGGGCGAGCAGGCAGGAAGGCAGCCGGGCAGGTGGGCAGGCGGGCAGACGGGCAGGGCAGGAGGCGGGCAGGGCAAATGATATGGTGGTGTGAGGCGATGCGATGGCAAGCAGGTGACGTGCATGGGAGCATGAGAGCATGAGAGCATGAGAGCATGAGAGCATGGGAGCGTGAGAGCATGAGAGCATGAGAGCATGGGAGCATGAGAGCATGAGAGCATGAGAGCATGGGAGCACGAGAGCATGAGAGCATGAGAGCATGAGAGCATGAGAGAGCATGAGAGCATGAGAGCATGAGAGCATGAGGAGCATGAGAGCATGGGAGCATGAGAGCATGAGAGCATGAAGCATGACATGAGAGCATGAGAGCATGAGAGCATGAGCATGAGAGCATGAGAGCATGAGAGCATGAGAGCATGAGAGCATAAGAGCATGAGAGCATGAGAGCATGAGAGCATGAGAGCATGAGAGCATGAGAGCATGAGAGCATGGAGCACGAGAGCATGAGAGCATGAGAGCATGAGAGCATGAAGGAGCATGAGAGCATGAGAGCATGAGAGCATGAGAAGCATGAGAGCATGAGAGCATGAGAGCAATGAGAGCATGAGAGCATGAGAGCATGAGAGCATGAGAGCATGAGAGCATGAGAAGCATGAGAGCATGAGAGCATGAGAGCATGAGAGCATGAGAGCATGAGAGCATGAGAGCATGAGAGCATGGAGAGCATGAGAGCATGAGAGCATGAGAGCATGAGAGCATGAGAGCATGAGAGCATGAGAGCATGGGAGCATGAGAGCATGAGAGCATGGGAGCATGAGAGCATGAGAGCATGAGAGCATGAGAGCATGAGAGCATGAGAGCATGAGAGCATGAGAGCATGAGAGCATGAGAGCATGAGAGCATGAGAGCATGAGAGCATGAGAGCATGAGAGCATGAGAGCATGAGAGCATGAGAGCATGAGAGCATGGAGAGAGGCATGAGAGCATGAGAGCATGAGAGCATGAGAGCATGAGAGCATGAGAGCATGAGAGCATGAGAGCATGAGAGCATGAGAGCATGAGAGCATGAGAGCATGAGAGCATGAATGAGAGCATGAGAGCATGGGAGCATGCGAGCATGAGAGCATGAGAGCATGGGAGCATGAGAGCATGAGAGCATGAGAGCATGAGAGCATGGAGAGCATGAGAGCATGAGAGCATGAGAGCATGAGAGCATGAGAGCATAAGAGCATGGGAGCACGAGAGCATGAGAGCATGAGAGCATGAGAGCATGAGAGCATGGGAGCATGAGAGCATGAGAGCATGAGAGCATGAGAGCATGAGAGATGAGAGCATGGGGGAAGCATGAGAGCATGAGAGCATGAGAGCATGAGAGCATGAGAGCATGAGAGCATGAGAGCATGAGAGCATGAGAGCATGAGAGCATGAGAGCATGAGAGCATAAGAGCATGAGAGCATGAGAGCATGAGAGCATGAGAGCATGAGAGCATGAGAGCATGAGAGCATGGGAGCACGAGAGCATGAGAGCATGAGAGCATGAGAGCATGAGAGCATGGGCATAGAGCATGAGAGCATGAGAGCATGAGAGCATGAGAGCATGAGAGCATGAGAGCATGAGAGCATGAGAGCATGAGAGCATGAGAGCATGAGAGCATGAGAGCATGAGAGCATGAGAGCATGAGAGCATGAGAGCATGAGAGCATGAGAGCATGAGAGCATGAGAGCATGAGAGCATGAGAGCATGAGAGCATGAGAGCATGAGAGCATGAGAGCATGACATGAGAGCATGAGAGCATGGGAGCATGAGAGCATGAGAGCATGAGAGCATGAGAGCATGAGAGCATGAGAGCAGAGGCATGAGAGCATGAGAGCATGAGAGCATGAGAGCATGAGAGCATGAGAGCATGAGAGCATGAGAGCATGAGAGCATGAGAGCATGAGAGCATGAGAGCATGAGAGCATGAGAGCCATGAGAGCATGAGAGCATGAGAGCATGAGAGCATGAGAGCATGAGAGCATGAGAGCATGAGAGCATGAGAGCATGAGAGCATGAGAGCATGAGAGCATGAGAGCATGAGAGCATGAGAGCATGAGAGCATGAGAGCATGAATGAGAGCATGAGAGCATGGGAGCATGCGAGCATGAGAGCATGAGAGCATGGGCAGGAGCATGAGAGCATGAGAGCATGAGAGCATGAGAGCATGAGAGCATGAGAGCATGAGAGCATGAGAGCATGGAGAGGCATGAAGGGAGCATGGAGCATGGAGCATGAGAGCATGGGAGCATGAGAGCATGGAGCATGAGAGCATGAGCAAAGCATGAGAGCATGAGAGCATGAGAGCATGAGAGCATGAGAGCATGAGAGCATGAGAGCATGAGAGCATGAGAGCATGAGAGCATGAGAGCAATGAGAGCATGAGAGCATGAGAGCATGGAGAGCATGAGAGCATGGAGCAGCATGAGAGCATGAGGAGCATGAGAGCATGAGAGCATGAGAGCATGAGAGCATGAGAGCATGAGAGCATGGGAGCATGAGAGCATGAGAGCATGGGAGAGCATGAGAGCATGAGAGCATGAGAGCATGAGAGCATGAGAGCAGAGGCATGAGAGCATGAGAGCATGAGAGCATGAGAGCATGAGAGCATGAGAGCATGAAGAGCATGAGAGCATGAGAGCATGAAGGAGCATGAGAGCATGAGAGCATGAGAGCATGGAGAGCAATGAGATGAGAGCATGGGAGCATGGCGAGCATGAGAGCATTGAGAGCATGGAGCGAGCCATGGACATGAGGCAATGAGAGCATGGAGAGCATGAGAGCATGAGAGCATGAGAGCATGAGAGCATGAGAGCATAAGAGCATGAGAGCATGGGGAGCATGGGGAGCATGGGGAGCATGAGAGCATGAGAGCATGAGAGCATGAGAGCATGAGAGCATGAGAGCATAAGAGCATAAGAGCATGAGAGCAATGAGAGCATGAAGAGCATGAGAGCATGAGAGCATGAGAGCATGAGAGCATGAGAGCATGAGAGCATGAGAGCATAAGCAGCATGAGAGCATGAGAGCATGAGAGCATGAGAGCATGAGAGCATGAGAGCATGAGAGCATGAGAGCATAAGAGCATGAGAGCATGAGAGCATGAGAGCATGGGAGCATGGGAGCATGGGAGCATGAGAGCATGAGAGCCATGAGAGCATGAGAGCATGAGAGCGTGAGAGCATGAGAGCATGAAGAGCATGAGAGCATGAGAAGCATGAGAGCATAAGAGCATGAGAGCATGAGAGCATGAGAGCATGAGAGCATGAGAGCATGAGAGCATGAGAGCATGAGAGCATGAGAGCATGAGAGCATGAGCAGCATGAAGCATGAATGAGAGCATGAGAGCATGGAGCATGCGAGCATGAGAGCATGAGAGCATGGAGCATGAAGCATGAGAGCATGAGAGCATGAGAGCATGAGAGCATGAGAGCATGAGAGCATGAGAGCATGAGAGCATGAAGCATGAGCAGAGAGCATGAGAGCATGAGAGCATAAGCAGAGAGCATGAGAGCATGAGAGCATGAGAGATGAGAGCATGAGAGCATGGAGCATGAGAGCATGAGAGCATGAGAGCATGAGAGCATGAGAGCATGAGAGCATGAGAGCATGAGAGCATGAGAGCATGAGAGCATGAATGAGAGCATGAGAGCATGGGAGCATGCGAGCATGAGAGCATGAGAGCATGGAGCATGAGAGCATGAGAGCATGAGAGCATGAGAGCATGAGAGCATGAGAGCATGAGAGCATGAGAGCATGAGAGCATGAGAGCATAAGCATGGAGCACGAGAGCATGAGAGCATGAAGCATGAGAGCATGAGAGCATGGGAGCATGAGAGCATGAAGAGCATGAGAGCATGAGAGCATGAGAGCATGAGAGCATGGGAGCATGAGAGCAGAGCATGAGAGCATGAGAGCATGAGAGCATGAAGCATGAGAGCATGAGAGCATGAGAGCATGAGAGCATGAGAGCATAAAGACATGAGAGCATGAGAGCATGAGAGCATGAGAGCATGAGAGCATGAGAGCATGAGAGCATGGGAGCACGAGAGCATGAGAGCATGAGAGCATGAGAGCATGAGAGCATGGGAGCATGAGAGCATGAGAGCATGAGAGCATGAGAGCATGAGAGCATGAGACATGAGAGCATGAGAGCATGAGAGCATGAGAGCATGAGAGCATGAGAGCATGAGAGCATGAGAGCATGAGAGCATGAGAGCATGAGAGCATGAGAGCATGAGAGCAGAGAGCATGAGAGCATGAGAGCATGAGAGCATGAAGCATGAGAGCATGAATGAGCATGAGAGCATGGGAGCATGCGAGCATGAGAGCATGAGAGCATGGAGCATGAGAGCATGAGAGCATGAGAGCATGAGAGCATGAGAGCATGAGAGCATGAGAGCATGAGAGCATGAGAGCATGAGAGCATGAGAGCATGAGAGCATGAGAGCATGAGAGCATAAGAGCATGAGAGCATGAGAGCATGAGAGCATGAGAGCATGAGAGCATGAGAGCATGAGAGCATGAGAGCATGAGAGCATGAGAGCATGAGAGCATGAGAGCATGAGAGCATGAGAGCATGAGAGCATGAGAGCATGAAGCATGAGAGCATGAATGAGAGCATGATAGCATGGGAGCATGCGAGCATGAGAGCATGAGAGCATGGGAGCATGAAGCATGAGAGCATGAGAGCATGAGAGCATGAGAGCATGAGAGCATGAGAGCATGAGAGCATGAGAGCATAAGAGCATGAGAGCATGGGAGCATGGGAGCATGGGAGCATGAGAGCATGAGAGCATGAGAGCATGAGAGCATGAGAGCATGAGAGCATAAGAGCATAGAGCATGAGAGCATGAGAGCATGAGAGCATGAGAGCATGAGAGCATGAGAGCATGAGAGCATGAGAGCATGAGAGCATGAGAGCATGAGAGCATGAGAGCATGAGAGCAAGATGAGAGAGCATGAGAGCATGAAGCATGGGAGCATGAGAGCATGAGAGCATGGGAGCATGAGAGCATGAGAGCATGAGAGCATGAGAGCATGAGAGCATGAGAGCATGAGAGCATGAGAGCATGAGAGCATGAGAGCATGAGAGCATGAGAGCATGAGAGCATGAGAGCATGAGAGCATGAGAGCATGAGAGCATGAGAGCATGAGAGCATGAGAGCATGAATGAGAGCATGAGAGCATGGGAGCATGCGAGCATGAGAGCATGAGAGCATGGGAGCATGAGAGCATGAGAGCATGAGAGCATGAGAGCATGAGAGCATGAGAGCATGAGAGCATGAGAGCATAAGAGCATGAGAGCATGGGAGCATGGGAGCATGGGAGCATGAGAGCATGAGAGCATGAGAGCATGAGAGCATGAGAGCATGAGAGCATAAGAGCATAAGAGCATGAGAGCATGAGAGCATGAGAGCATGAGAGCATGAGAGCATGAGAGCATGAGAGCATGAGAGCATGAGAGCATGAGAGCATAAGAGCATGAGAGCATGAGAGCATGAGAGCATGAGAGCATGAGAGCATGAGAGCATGAGAGCATGAGAGCATAAGAGCATGAGAGCATGAGAGCATGAGAGCATGGGAGCATGGGAGCATGGGAGCATGAGAGCATGAGAGCATGAGAGCATGAGAGCATGAGAGCGTGAGAGCATGAGAGCATGAGAGCATGAGAGCATGAGAGCATGAGAGCATAAGAGCATGAGAGCATGAGAGCATGAGAGCATGAGAGCATGAGAGCATGAGAGCATGAGAGCATGAGAGCATGAGAGCATGAGAGCATGAGAGCATGAGAGCATGAGAGCATGAGAGCATGAGAGCATGAGAGCATGAGAGCATGAGAGCATGAGAGCATGAGAGCATGAGAGCATGAGAGCATGAGAGCATGCGAGCATGAGAGCATGAGAGCATGAGAGCATAAGAGCATGAGAGCATGAGAGCATGAGAGCATGGGAGCATGGGAGCATGGGAGCATGAGAGCATGAGAGCATGAGAGCATGAGAGCATGAGAGCGTGAGAGCATGAGAGCATGAGAGCATGAGAGCATGAGAGCATGAGAGCATGAGAGCATGAGAGCATGAGAGCATGAGAGCATGAGAGCATGAGAGCATGAAGAGAGCATGAGAGGCATGGGAGCATGCGAGCATGAGAGCATGAGAGCATGGGAGCATGAGAGCATGAGAGCATGAGAGCATGAGAGCATGAGAGCATGAGAGCATGAGAGCATGAGAGCATGAGAGCATAAGAGCATGAGAGCATGAGAGCATGAGAGCATGGGAGCATGGGAGCATGGGAGCATGAGAGCATGGGAGCATGAGAGCATGAGAGCATGAGAGCATGAGAGCATGAGAGCATGAGAGCATGAGAGCATGAGAGCATGAGAGCATGAGAGCATGAATGAGAGCATGAGAGCATGGGAGCATGCGAGCATGAGAGCATGAGAGCATGGGAGCATGAGAGCATGAAAGCATGAGAGCATGAGAGCATGAGAGCATGAGAGCATGAGAGCATAAGAGCATGAGAGCATGAGAGCATGAGAGCATGGGAGCATGGGAGCATGGGAGCATGAGAGCATGAGAGCATGAGAGCATGAGAGCATGAGAGCGTGAGAGCATGAGAGCATGAGAGCATGAGAGCATGAGAGCATGAGAGCATAAGAGCATGAGAGCATGAGAGCATGAGAGCATGAGAGCATGAGAGCATGAGAGCATGAGAGCATGAGAGCATGAGAGCATGAGAGCATGAGAGCATGAGAGCATGAGAGCATGAGAGCATGAGAGCATGAGAGCATGAGAGCATGCGAGCATGAGAGCATGAGAGCATGAGAGCATGAGAGCATGCGAGCATGCGAGCATGCGAGCATGCGAGCATGAGAGCATGAGAGCATGAGAGCATGAGAGCATGAGAGCATGAGAGCGCTCAAAAACCAAACCAGAAGTGCAGAACCCGCATGACCAGACAGCCCTCGTTTCCTGCATAGTGGAGAGCTTGACCTTGTTCCACTCGAAGGAGCGCGGGTCGAGCAGCCAGAGTCCGACAGCACCACGCCCCTGTCCCTGCCGTCCGCGTCCTTGGCATGGTCCTTGAAGTAGCCGCCGTACAGGAAGACCTGCGACACACGGCACAGGGCACAGAGCACAGGGCACAGGGCACAGGGCACAGGGCACAGGCGTACAAGGGGAATGTGAGAGAGGACGCAGAGGCACGAGAATCATCACAACACAAGGCACTTCGTATGGCAATATACATTCTTTTCATGGCAGCCATGTGCTGACCTCATCCTGGTGGGCGGCGAACTGGAAGGCACTGCGGGGAGACGGCCATGCTGCTCCCGGCTTGGGCTTCACCTCCGCCCACTGACCCACACACAGAGAGGGGGGGAGACCGCGGGGTGGTAGGGCAGGGAGACGGTGGTGAGATGGGGTGGTGAGATGGTGGGAAGATGGTGGCGAGATGAGATGGTGCAGGGAGGATTGAGGCAGAAGAGCGTGCAATAAGAGCTACAGCCAGCAGCACATGCAGCAGCAGGCAGCAGCAGCAGCAGCAGCAGACCCACACCCAGAGCCCCAGAGCCCCCAAAGAGGCAGAACACTTGCCTTCATGTCGGTGAGGTCGAGCACGTGGAGGTCGTTGAAGTAGCTGGGGGCGGGGGGGGGGGGGCGCAATACACGCATCACTTGGGGAAGCCACACACATGGGCCGGCAAGGCAACTGGGAGGATGGGGGATGGAGAGGAATAGGGGCAGGGCATCCATCCAGGTGGAAGAAGAACCCACCAAGTGCCGCTGCTCGCGACATGGCCTCCACATCACGCCCCCCAACAACGCGCCAGAGAGCATGAAGTCTAGTTTTAAGGCGCCTCAAAACTAGACTTCTATCACGCGATTTTGAGGCGCCTCAAAACTAGACTTCTATCACGCGATTTTTGAGGCGCCTCAAAACCCCAACAGCGCGCGAGAGAGGCATGAATCAGCCCCGCGCACCCGGCCATGAGACCATGACTCACCGCACATCCCTTAGGTTGTCATAAAAGCCTCCAAAGAGCAGTATTCGCTGCTTGTACAAAACCTGCACACAGAGTGTGGGAGAGGGGAGAGAGGGTCAAGCACTGGCACTCGGGGATTGCAAGTGAGCTGGTTTTTTAAGCAAAGGTGAGCGCACTCGGGTGCATGAGCAATGATGTGAGGAGCATGCGTGCGGGCGAAAGCGGAGGGAGCATGCAGCGGCGCACCATGCGGTGGCCGGAGCGCGGGGAGGGGCGCCCTTGAGGGACAGCTGCTCCCACTGGTTGGTGCTCAGATCCAGGCGCCACAGGTCCTGGGGGGGCGAACAAGCGCACAGACACGGCCGTGGAGGGTGGGGAAGTGATATGGTTTGCGTCCAAAGAGCAGGACGTGCGGGAACGATTCAAAGGCATGACGAGGGCAACTCTTGTGGTGAATGAGCATGGCAGGTGCACGTGAATTGCAGAGCACCGAGATGCGTGCGTGCTGCGGGTTCACTGCGGCACGGGGGAGGAGGGCGCACCTTGAAGTGATGAAACCTCTCCTGGTTGGGGGACGTGAACTCGCCACCTGGTGCCACGCCACGCACAGCACACAGCACACAGCACACACAACTGCACGCCTTTCACATCTGGAGCTTTAACAGTCGTAGCAGCGGTACAGCAGCACATGGTTTCAGATTCATGCATCTTCCAGATGTAGTCGATCAATGGCTTGTCACAAAGACGATGAAATTACCTGCAAGAACTTGCTTCCACGCGCCATGATGAACAGGAAGCAAGGTGAAGCGCAGAGCACCACCGAAGACGAACACAAAGTTCTTCCACGCCACGGCGTGGTGCCCGCTGCGAGGCGGCGGGCTGTTGGGGCTGCTGACCAGGCGCCACGTGGCCTTGTCCGCGTTGAAGCGGTACAGGTCGCCGTACACATGCGTCTGGGGGGGGGGGGGAGGGAGATGGGGTGAGGGCGGGAGGAGTAGCTATGGGAGAGAGGCAGGCGCGCTGCATGAGGGAACGCAGAGAAGTGAACGCAGTCTAGCGATGATGCTCATCTCACTTCACATTGCCCTTCTAACGCTGGGCGAAACGTGTTTCGCCCTTATTAACAGACTCGGCCGGCCCTCACGACTGCAATGCGCACCTTATCCCCCACAGTGCGCACCTTATCCCCCACAGTGCGCACCTTATCCCCCACAGTGCGCACCTTATCCCCCACAGTGCGCACCTTATCCCCCACAGTGCGCACCTTATCCCCCACAGTGCGCACCTTATCCCCCACAGTGCGCACCTTATCCCCCACAGTGCGCACCTTATCCCCCACAGTGCGCACCTTATCCCCCACAGTGCGCACCTTATCCCCCACAGTGCGCACCTTATCCCCGTTGTAGAACTCCCCCCCGAAGATGACGAGCTCCGTGTCCTTGAGAGGGTTCACCACCATCTGCCATGCGGAGCAGGGCGGGCGAGGGGGTGGAGCAGGGCGAGGGGGTGGGAGCAGGGCGAGGGGGTGGAGCAGGGCGAGGGGGTGGAGCAGGGCGAGGGGGTGGGAGCAGGGCGAGGGGGTGGAGCAGGGCGAGGGGGTGGAGGCAGGGGGAGCAGGGGGGTGGAGCAGGGCGAGGGGGTGGAGCAGGGCGAGGGGGTGGAGCAGGGCGAGGGGGTGGAGCAGGGCGAGGGGGTGGAGCAGGAACAGAGCACGGCAGAGGGAGGGGTGTGGGCGCAGAACGGACGGTGATGGGAGAGAGGGGAACGGACGGTGATGGATGGACGAGAGGGGCAAGCGTGCTTCTACGGAAGTGCAAGTGAACCCACCGTGGCGTTGCAGCGGGGGAGGGCGGCGGCACGCCCTCGTCCACATGCACCTCCTTCTTCTTCGCCTCCTCTGCTGCTATCTTCGCCTGCCGGGGCCACGGGACGCGTGAGACAGCATGGCAGCATGACAGCATGACAGCATGGCAGCATGGCAGCATGGCAGCATGGCAGCATGCAGCATGACAGCATGACAGCATGGACAGCATGGCAGCATGGCAGCATGACAGCATGACAGCATGGCAGCATGGCAGCATGACAGCATGACAGCATGGCAGCATGACAGCATGGCAGCATGACAGCATGACAGCATGACAGCATGACAGCATGGCAGCATGGCAGCATGGCAGCATGACAGCAAGGCAGCATGGCAGCATGACAGCATGACAGGATGACAGCATGACAGCATGGCAGCATGGCAGCATGACAGCATGACAGCATGACAGCATGACAGCATGGCAGCATGGCAGCATGGCAGCATGGCAGCATGACAGCATGACAGCATGACAGCATGGCAGCATGGCAGCATGACAGCATGACAGCATGGCAGCATGGCAGCATGACAGCATGACAGCATGGCAGCATGACAGCATGGCAGCATGACAGCATGACAGCATGACAGCATGACAGCATGGCAGCATGGCAGCATGGCAGCATGACAGCAAGGCAGCATGGCAGCATGACAGCATGACAGCATGACAGCATGACAGCATGGCAGCATGGCAGCATGACAGCATGACAGCATGACAGCATGACAGCATGGCAGCATGGCAGCATGGCAGCATGACGGCATGACAGCATGACAGCATGACAGCATGGCAGCATGGCAGCATGACGGCATGACAGCATGACAGCATGGCAGCATGGCAGCATGACAGCACGACAGCATGACAGCACGACAGCGAGACAGCATGACAGCATGACAGCATGGCAGCATGACAGCATGGCAGCATGACAGCATGACAGCAAGACAGCATGACAGCATGGCAGCATGACAGCACGACAGCACGACAGCACGACAGCATGACAGCATGGCAGCATGGCACATGCCACGAGGCAATGTACTCTGCCACATGCCATGCAGCACTGCCACACAAATGGCGCCCCCCCCCGCCCCCCCGCCGGCCGTACCAGGATGGCGTCCACGTCGTCCTCCTCGTCCACCTGCTTCTCCTCGCGCCGCTGCTTCTTCGCCTCCGCCTTCGCCGTCTTCCGCTCCGTCTTCTCCTTCCCCTTCCCCGGCTTACCCTTCCCCTTCTTCCCCATCTTCGTCCCCGTACTACCGCGCACTACCCCGCACTTCTGGGCAATACTACCCCGCACAACCGCCCGCCCTCAGCGCACGGGCGGCGCACGCGCGCCCGATGGGGCGATGAGGCTCCCTGAGCGACGCGCCGCTGGCACGAGCTAGGGAAGGGTGGGACGGGGAAAGCAAGCAACAAGCTGAGCTGAATTCGGCCGGGGGGATCCGCTTAGTGGGCGGCGTATGTCAGAGGCAGAGGCAGCACAATACGGGCCGTCCGCGGGGTTCGGCTTTGAATCCTTCAGACGCGTGCTAGAGCGCCTGTGGCGGCGGCGGCAATAATGCCCAGCGTGAAAGTGTGCTAGAGCAAACGTTAGCGCGACTGCTAAAACCTCAATCTCGGGTGTCGTGTACATCTCTGCTCAGGGCATGTCCAGCGCGTTCATTTTGCCCCAACACGAATTTTTGACGTATTTTTAACACGCCGAAATATTGATCCGCCAAGTGTGAATGTGTTGAGGTACACCTACAGTATCAACAGCAAAACGCTGGGACACGAGCGGACACGAGCCCCGCCCGTGGGCTCGACAAATGAGCGGGTGCGCAGCGCGCACATAATAGGCTGACACGCGAAAACAGCAGGGTAGCCGTATTTCGCCCCGGGAAAGAGTCGCGTCGAGTCGCGCATGCACTTCCAATTCTTCTTCCACTTTTTTCGCCGTGCTTCGCAAACGTCACGAAAGCCTGGCGAATGTAAGCGTTTTATTTTTCGTCAGCCAGGATTTGGACGTTTCTGCCGTGTACATAATTTACGCACGATTTTCATTCGGTTCGGAAACGTGTGGCCCACATCTGTGGGCACGTTTGGAGGGTGTCCGCCAAAACTGTCCATTTATCGTGCGTGTCCGAATGGACACGAAATTTCGGGTTACCAGGTCGAAATTTTGTACCTGATATTCAAAGTGAATGGTAAACGAACGCGCTGGACACGCCCTTATGAGAAATTCCCGTACTCGTTTTCGTAGCACCTCTAAAATATGAAGACAATTGTGTGCACAGTTATTTTACTATGTGTAATTGACTCTTAATTATATAATAATTCAAAGCATTCATAATCACACCCATATCAGTATATTTTCATTATGAACTTTTTTCCTTACGTTCATATATTGGCATGATAACAGCCATTATTTCCTCCCATGCTTGTTAGTTTCCATCTGTTAGCTTGATGTTCCCCAAGTTTTATCTGGTGTGTTGTCACTTGCGCTTGGCAGGCGGAGATGGTGCTTTGAGAGGAGGAGGGGGAGCCCTGGTGGAGGCGGGTGGGGGGCTGGTTTTCTTGGAGGGCGTGGGCGGTCCGCCAGCTACTCTGGCGAGGACCCCGACGAAGGGGGCGTTGATGGAGGTGGACGGCTCGCACTGCTGGTAGTTGTCCCTCTCGTCCCGAAACGCGTCTGTGCTGTCCGGCCCACCGATCACCGCTCCCGTCAGCACATTCAGGTTTGGGGCCTGGGGGGCCACAGGAAGGGGAATCAATGGTGCATTGTAGAGGTGAGTAGCCATGCCGTGCTTGCAAAGGGCAGCAGGAGTGGGGTGAAATGGCACAAAACTGGCGAACCAGAGTTTGGCTAGCATGGCTGCAGAAGTGAGACGACATGTTGGCTAGGAGCTGGGATGGCTGGAGGGGAGCATGGTCGGCCTACTGCATGCTGCAGTGGGCGCACCTTTGCTTGGAAGTAGGGCCAGCCGTCGTTGCAGCCGATGAGCGTCTTGTTCTTCTTGATGGACGGTAGCGATGCGCCGCGGTGGTGCACGCGCTGTGGGTACGAGGCGCTGAAGCCCACCATGTAGCTCAGCTTCTTGGGGTTCACGCCCAGGATGTAGTCCGTCTGCCGCTTCACAAAGCGGCGAATGTTGGTGGTGGTGACGTTGGTGGCGTCGCACTGGATGGCCGTGGCATTGCCCGCACTGGCAGGGGCGGCGTCCAGGTAGTCGGCCAACACAGAGAGCGCCATGGACACCGCCGTGACATACTGCAGGTTGCTCCATGACATCAGGAACAGCATGCCGCCTGCAAATGGCACGTGGCACAAGGGACATGGGAGTTGGCACATGGGACATGGGGCATGGCACACCATACATGACGCTTGGCGGATGCATATCGCCTCCCAGGCACCGTTAGATTATGGGACGCTTGGCTTTGGGCACGGGATTTGATTTCACACAACTAACCTGGGAATCTGACTCTCAGGCACCGACCCCAGTCACTCTCCTGGCGTTCTGACCCCAGCCACCCACCTGGCGATCTGACCCCAGCCACCCACCTGGCGATCTGACCCCAGCCACCCACCTGGCGATCTGACCCCAGCCACCCACCTGGCGATCTGACCCCAGCCACCCACCTGGCGATCTGACCCCAGCCACCCACCTGGCGATCTGACCCCAGCCACCCACCTGGCGATCTGAACCCAGCCACCCACCTGGCGTTCTGACCCCAGCCACCCACCTGGCGATCTGACCCCAGCCACCCACCTGGCGATCTGACCCCAGCCACCCACCTGGCGATCTGACCCCAGCCACCCACCTGGCGATCTGACCCCAGCCACCCACCTGGCGATCTGACCCCAGCCACCCACCTGGCGTTCTGACCCCGCGCACCACGGTGCCACACACGAAGTCCTTGGCGCGCTTCAGGTACAGCTCCAGGGACGGGTCCTGGCGAGCTAGGTACTCCTGGGGGGGGAAGATGGCATGGGATGGAGGGTATGGCATGGGATAAAAGGTATGGCATGGTATGGAGGGTATGGCATGGGATGGGGGCACATGGCATGGGATGGGGTCACATGGCAGCACTAGCCTCACAGCCCGCCCCTCACCTTAGCGAGCAGCACTTGAGCACCGGCATACTTGTTGTCCCACGAGAAGATCTGCACGGACGACTGCGTGCCGCCCAGGTCCTTCTCGTGCGTCACTATGTAGTCCAGGTACCGCGCCTCCCCCGTGGCGCGGTACAGCCACGCCGCCGCCCACAGCAGCTCGTCCTGGGGGGACAGCAGAGCATGACACGTCAGCAGGAGGTCACAATGGGCATGTCCCGTAGCAGGCAGATCATGGGAAGAGTGGTCCATGAGAGAGCTGCTGCACACGGGGCGCATTGACTCACGTACATTGTAGCCGGAGTAGGAGTTGTAGAAAGCAGAAGCGGATGGGATGCTGTCGGTGTACTTCTTCGGGTACCGCTTTGCAAAGTTGAACAGCTGGTGGGGGAGAAGAAGGCGAGGACGGGTGGAGAGAGCAGGATGCGGAGTGGAAGCTGTTTTTGGGCTGTGAGGGAGCGGAACGAGGGGGCAGCGCAGCGCACAAGTGGGCATGCGGGGAATCGGGAGGGGCAAGGGGATGCGCGGTACCTGGCGCGCGTGTGTGAGCAGCGACTTGGAGTAGTTGGCGTCCGTCTTGCCGAACACCATGCTGGACGCCGCCAGCGCGGCAGCGGCCTCGGCGGCGGGCTCGGTGCCGGGGTGCTGCGCGTCCAGGCGGTACGCCGTGCGCGGCGTGCCCATGTCCTCCGGGCGCTCCCAGCAGCTGTGGTCCGACTGCCCGTCGCCCACCTGCCGACCGCGCGCGCGCAAATGCATGTGCAGAGGGGTTTTACAGAGACAGAGAGGCGGACAGATGAGACGGCGACATGAAAGGCGACGTGCGGATGAGAGATGAAGCGAGGGCGAGAGGTGGATGAGAGATGAAGCGAGGGCGAGAGGTGGATGAGAGATGAAGCGAGGGCGAGAGGTGGATGAGAGATGAAGCGAGGGCGAGAGGTGGATGAGAGATGAAGCGAGGGCGAGAGGTGGATGAGAGATGAAGCGAGGGCGAGAGGTGGATGAGAGATGAAGCGAGGGCGAGAGGTGGATGAGAGATGAAGCGAGGGCGAGAGGTGGATGAGAGATGAAGCGAGGGCGAGAGGTGGATGAGAGTGCCCTTTAACGACGCCAAGGAGGATGAGGATGAGGATGAGGATGAGGATGAGGATGAGGATGTGGATGTGGATGTGGATGTGGATGGGGCGAGAAGCGAACCAGGGGAGGAGCGATGCTTGCAATGGCCGCCCACCCTGCAGGTAGAGCCCATCTGCACGTAAAGGCCATCTCCCCGGACAGCCCACCTGCGCGTAGAGCACGTTGGGTTTGGGGTGCGCGTTGACGAAGTAGTGCGCGCCCCAGCGCACGGCGTCCCTGGCGGCCTTGATCTGCCCGAGCGCCTTGAGCTGCGCGCCGTACTCCACCACGCTCCACGCCAGCGCCGTCACGGTGAACGCCAGGGGGAAGCCGAACTTGACGTTGTCGCCCGAGTCGAAGTACCCGCGCGACAGGTCCACCTGAAAGGTGGGGGGAGACGAGTAACGGCACCGCGTGGAGGGGGAAAGGGCAATAGCGGTCGGGAGGGCAAACCGCCAGCTCGTGCTAGGAACGAGGATCTGGTGAAACGGCGCTTCACTCCTGCATTCCAGTGCCCAGCGCACTAGAGTATCCACATTTTACTTCCTCCTCTGTCGCGCCCTGAACTCTCCCCCAGCCACGCAGACGTCGCACGTTCCGCCTTCACCCGCCTTACCCCTTCCGCCTTGCCATCTGTGAGCCCCGAGTCGCCCCGCCACGCGGAGCGCTGAGAGGGGGGCAGCTTGCCGGAGCGCTGCAGCTGGAAGAAGAAGATGCACTTCTCGAGCGCCTCGCTGTAGTTCAGCCGCGCCGCCGCCGCCGCCGCCGTCACCGCCACCGACTCGGGCGGCTTGGCGGCGGACGAGCGTTGGGGTAGCGAGCTGAAGGGCAGAGCGACGGCGAGCAGGAGGACGACGAGGAACACGTGGGAGCGTAGGCTTTCCATCGAGGCGCGAAACGTGCAGAATGCTGTCACTGGATTATTCTAATGGCGCATCTGCGACTGCATAAACCCGTCATCCGCTACGGTATTATATGGCTTTATGTTGGTCGCGTGAAACCGTGCCTCTCGTGGTTTGTGCGGCAAGCAAGATGGCGTCCTGTAACCCATTCGCTTGAGAGTCAGATGCACAACCTTGTGAGTGCCAGCGTAAATGAAGGCTATCTCTCTTGCGACGCACTGTAAACCTTTCATGTTAACCTGACCAGGTCAGATTCGGGCAATTCGGACGGGGCGTGCCGCTCTCGCGCGGTGCTGGGAAGTAGAGTGGGCTGCTGGCAGGTGCACCTTCCCATCCCACAGCACCAATTCGCTGCCCGCTGTGGCGCCCATTTGCGTTTTCTCCTGCGCCGGGCCCCTCCACCAAATTGATGCGCCCTGCAGGTAGCTGGGGATGGTGCGCGCCGCCGTAACTGTCCTTGCGCCTGGCGAAAAATGGCCAAAATTGATGAAGTTCCTGCAGTGGAATTTTGTAGGTTTCGCCAACATTCAAATAAACCACTTCAAAGGTACACCTGTTTTCCTATTTAGTTTTACGGTTTTTGCACGCGGCTTGAGCCTGTAAACAGGAAATTGTAAAACACGGACAAACGGGACTTTGAAGGGGAAATCCCACAGTAAACAATGACACCTGGTTACAAAATCTCGCTCATGCACTAGATTGGTTGCCTGCGCAATTGTCGAAATACAACTTGGTAGTTCGTTATCGTTCAGACTGCAGCCAATCAGGTTCAGTGTCAACGCGAGTCATGCCGAGAACCTGGTAGGTGAGATTGCAATTTGGACTGTTCGGGGTGGGACCATAGAGGAGAAAAGGTGGTTTAAAAGGGCGTGATAGCCCTTGTACGTTTCCTCTTTTTGCATACAAGGTTCACACATCAAAGCACCATTTGGTATTCTTCATATCATTCTTAGCATATGAAATATCACCGAAAATCTAGTGTGGAGCGCACGCCTCCACTATGCAATGCATAAACTCTTACGGAATTTACAATGGTGCGTGTTTCAAGAGAAAACCACTTCCGCGGGCTATCAAGGCGCAAGGAAGGACCTTGCGCAAACCAAATGTACAAAGCACTACTGCCACGTTGCAAACTTATACCTTTTCAACTTATACTTTCACTCCGATGCCTGTAATGTTCCAATACGCTTGCTAGGCCTCATCCAGCAACCGCAGTGCCTGCTTGAGGTAGTCCACAGCAGCGGGGACGTCGTCGAATGCCAGCGCACTCACAGCGAAGCGCGCAGCGCGGTGTGCATCACCCACCTTGCCCGCTGGGGGTGCTTGCCCGCCCATGCCCATGCCCGTGCTGATGCCTGCACTTGAAGTGTCAGCAGGCTGTGGTGCAGCGGGCACCGGAGCAGAGAAGGGTGGCGGAGCAGCAGCAGATGCTCGTGGTGCACCTGAACCGTTCATAGTTGCACCTGCAGGGCCGAGGGACGATGTTGTGGCTGCAGCAGAGCGGTTCAAAGCGGTGGGTTGGGCGAGGCGAGATGGGAGTCAATGGACAGGGAAGGAGGAGCGGGACACTCAGTATGCACAGTGTGAGACGGGGAAGAGGGGCAAAACAGACCAGTGCACGGGGAGAGAGAAGTGGTAGAAACGATTGGGTGGATGGACTGACACGTGGATGGATGAAACGAACTGGGTAGGGGGAGCCCAAGTGTAACGAGCTCACCAGCGCTGTTCCCATGGGGTCGCCCCACACCTGGCCCTTGCTGTGCGCCCCCCTGTGCCCACCCACCGCCCCCTGCCCCTCCTCCTCCTGCGGTCGCCCCTCCTGGCGCTGCCCCGCTGTGGTCGGGGCGGAGAGGCTGGGCTGAGGGCGGCTGGGGCAGACCAAGGATGTCATACTGCCGGGGAAGGGGGGGAAGGGGGGGGAGGGGGGGGGGGTAAGCGTACAGCGGTGCAAAGGGGTGTGTGTGAAGAGACCTAACAACTTGTGAGAAACACTGCATTGAACTCTGCGTTCCAACCCTCCCTCTCCTCACCTGCCCTCCCTCTCCTCACCTGCCCTCCCTCTCCTCACATGCCCTCCCTCTCCTCACCTGCCCTCTCTCTCCTCACCTGCCCTCCCTCTCCTCACCTGCCCTCCCTCTCCTCACATGCCCTCCTTCTCCTCACCTGCCCTCCCTCTCCTCACATGCCCTCCCTCTCCTCGCATGCCCTCCCTCTCCTCACCTGCCCTCCCTCTCCTCACATGCCCTCCCTCTCCTCACATGCCCTCCCTCTCCTCACCTGCCCTCCCTCTCCTCACCTGCCCTCCCTCTCCTCACATGCCCTCACGCTCCTCACCTGCCCTCCCTCTCCTCACTTGCCCTCCCTCTCCTCACATGCCCTCCCTCTCCTCACCTGCCCTCCCTCTCCTCACCTGCCCTCCCTCTCCTCACATGCCCTCCCTCTCCTCGCATGCCCTCCCTCTCCTCACCTGCCCTCCCTCTCCTCACATGCCCTCCCTCTCCTCACATGCCCTCCCTCTCCTCACCTGCCCTCCCTCTCCTCACCTGCCCTCCCTCTCCTCACCTGCCCTCCCTCTCCTCACCTGCCCTCCCTCTCCTCACTTGCCCTCCCTCCCCTCACCTGCCCTCCCTGCCCTCACCTGACCCCCCTGCCCTGCAGGACCAGCTCCGCCAGAATTCATGCCACTGCCAGCTCCGTCCGTGGCAGCAGCGCTGGCAGCGGGAGGGGCAGCAGCAGCAGCAGGCGCAGAGAGCAGGCCAGCGGCATCAGCGGCGTCACCAGCAGGTGGGCCAGGTGTGGGCTGCCTTCCGTCTGCCAGCGCCCTGCGGATGTCAGCCGCCTTCCACGCCGCGTAGCGCTGTCTTTGCTCCACCTGCGTGCGGGGGGGCGGGGGGAAGGAGGGAGTGCAGAAGGAGGGGGCAGAGCGGAGGTTGGCGGGAAGGAGGGAAGGAAGGAGCGCTGAGGATGCATGTAACGCGAGCAGATGCGCGTGCAAAGGACGGAGCATTGCAGTGAACCAATACCTCGGGTGGCAGTTCCCCAAACTGGCGCATGACATCAAAGAAGAGCCCCGCAGCATAGAACGTCTTGGCTGTGGAGCTGAGGGCCCGCACAACAGGGGCGGGGTAGAGGGGGTTGGAGAGAAATGGGAGGGGAGTACATGGAGAGAGATTGGGAGGTAGGTACATGTTGAAGAGATGAAGAGGAAGACACATGGAAGAAAGATACGCGTGCTTGTAACGAGTATACGGCGTACATGTCGGCCTGGCCCGCCCTGTCCTGCTTGTCCGCCTTAGCAAAGACCCTCTGAGCGAATCCCTCCACGTGCAGACTGTCCTCGGGGCTCAGCTGCAGCGCCGCCTTGTCCTGCCCATGCACACATGCCAGGAAGGGGGGGGGGGGGAAGGAGGGGGGGGGGAAGGCAGGATGAGTTAAGATGGGAACCGTTAGATGGGAGGAGAACATACAGAGGAGGCCTCGTCGACTCCAGGATTCCAGACATGGGAATCCAAACAAAAGCCAAAACAAATGTGGGTTTCGTGCTCTTGGCCAAAGTCATGGCCAAAAGTCATGAGCGTTAAGTGCGCATGGCATGCCACATGTCTGTGAGGCCCACCTTCTCGAGGCGTGCGAGCGTTGAGAGCAGCAGGTCGTTGGTCTCCCTGCTGCGCTCCTTGCTCGGCAGCTTCAGCCCCTTCTCCGTCGCGTACAGCCGACCTGCACACCATGCCCATGTCATGCACGCCATAGCCATGCACCCCATAGCCATGCACCCCATAGCCATGCACGCCATAGCCATGCACCCCATAGCCGTGCACCGCACAGCCATGCACCGCACAGCCATGCACCGCGCAGCCATGCACCGCACAGCCATGCACCGCACAGCCATGCACCGCATAGTCCATGCCACCCACCCAAGCCACGCCCGCTCGTGAAACCAATCAGCACGCGGCTCACCACCTCGCCCTTCACGCGCCCTGCCTGCGATAGAATTGCTCCCATCAACCCCTTCGTCAGCACGCGTGCCGACGACATTCTTCACTCTGGGACAAAAATAAAGAATGCCACTCCTCCTCTTTTGTTTCTTCGACTTTTAATCGCATCACATCTCATGAGCCCAGCGAGCGAAACCCCCAAGGACGAAGACCAAATCCGTGTTCCTTCCAGAACGCGCGGTAGCCACGTCGCGAACCGAGCGACAGCGTCGCACCCCATGCCTGCAAAGGCGGGCGACTAAACGAATCCTCACAGTAGTAGGCGACGAGAGGGTCGTGCTTCTGCAGCTCATCGGCGCGCTGCAGAAACGGCAGCAGCGACTTTCCTGTGTCCTCTGGTCCCGACGCCATTCGAAAATCCGCTTCGGCCTCGAAGGTGCCCGATGGCAAAGCTAAATCACGAGGCTACGGCACGAATTGTGCCTCGCTGAGACTGAGGAAGAGGGAATGGTAGTGTGGGGAAACCAATGGCTGCTTCTGGGAACATCGAAATTGCCGAGTGGCGAATAGCGGGTCACTTGAATCGAGACCTGGACCATCTGATTGAAGAAAGCCGATAGAACGATGCATTTATTGGCTCACCAGATGTTGCATCCGGTGCTAAATATGACGTACATTAGCTAAAAGGTGCAATCACAATTTGTCAAGCAACTATCCAACTTTTCACATTACATTCTTTCTCATGGTTCAAGCTTCAGGTTAAGCGTAATTCGATTATTATGCGCATGTATACATCAGTCATAAGTTAGCTTCCACATTGTGCCATCATGTTTTGTATATTTGCAGCTTGTGCTGCTGTTGGTGCTGTCAAACCCCAGTTAGCATACGACCCCATGCCTTCTGGCACGGGCGCCACCACCCCTGTGGCGTGGCTGGCCACCACGTTCTCCAGCACGGGGCGCAGGGAGCTGCCTGCCTTGGAGGAGACCAGGTTGACGTTGCTCAGGTTGATGCCGCCACATGGGACCGTCTCGCTGCACCGGATTTTCATCCCATATCTGCGCTCACATTCACCACCCATCACAGTCACATGAGAACCGAGGCTTACGACACAGCAGGAGCATGGCCAAAGCATGCCGAGGACGGGCCTTGTTAGATTCGTTGACTATTTACCGTGTTGTGGTGCCATAGACATTGGAGTAGGAGACGTTGACAAGGGCCACATTGTTGGGTGCGATGCCGCAGAAGAAGTCCTGGTGTGAGTCGCAGTAAAACTGCGGCACGGAGACACCAGAACAGACAAGAATGAGCGCCCCATTCGCATGCTGCCGTGTGTTACTTTCAAAGCGATGCTACTGCTGCTACTGCCCAGATGCGAAGCATCACCTCACCTGATTCAGTATAATGGCGTTGTCAGTGTTTGTCATGTATACATTCTCGTATCGTACATTGCGCACCATGCCCATGCCTCCCTGCCATGTCTTGATGCGCAGCCCATTATCGAGGTTGGCTATAATGAGGTCCTTGAAAGTCACATCGGAGACACACGCCACTGCCCCTCCAGCACCCAGGCTTCCAATGCTGCACAAGGGGGAATGTAACAGAGGGAAGGAACAATGGGGGTGAGATTAGACCAGGAAGTGCAGCAGCAGCACATGCCATACCCTACCACCTAGCCCCATGCCATATCACCTGACGCCCTACCATATCACCTGACGCCCTACCATATCACCTGACGCCCTACCATATCACCTGACGCCCTACCAAATCACCTGACGCCCTACCATATCACCTGAGCCCCCAGCATCTCACCTGATGCCATGGCCGGCTGTGGCTATGAGATTCCTGACGGTGACGTTGACCACGCTCTGTGCGCCCCTGGCCACGAGCGACACGTCGTCGTCGCCGCCGTGGAAGGTGCAGTTCTCGATGAGCGCGTGGCGCACGCCCAGCAGCTTGAGCGAGTCCGTGTTGGGCGACGACTCGGGGCTGTTGGTCGTCACCCCGCGGATCCACAGCCCCTCCGTGCTGTACCCAAACACGTGGTACATGGGCGGGTTGCTGGGGGGGGGGGGGGGAAGGGGGGAGGGCAAGGTAGAGTAGCACATGTGGAATAGTGAGGGGAAGATGAGTCAGGAGGCATGTGGGAAGGCGGAAGCAGAAGATGCGGTGCGAGGAGGTGCGAGGAGGTGCGATGAGGAGGCTGAGGAATATGTGAGTTGAGCACACGGCACGGCACAGCAACGCGTGGGAGAGAGCACACGCATACCGCAGCAGGAGCCCATCGATGGTGGTGTTGTGGCAGTCAATGAGGGTGAGTATGTGCGGCCTGGTGGGCGCCTTGGAGCCCCAGAACTTCTTCCCGTTGCCATCCATCACCCCGCTGCCGCGCACCACGAGCCCCGCGACGCCGATGAAGCGGAAGAGCCCGTTGCTCGCCACGCCGATCAGCGTGCCGTTCAGGTACAGCGACGGCTCGGGGTAGCCCGCCTTGGACACCGGGCCGTAGATGCTGCCGTCCACCTGGGGGGAGGAGCGGCGGGGTGGGGGGGGAGGGGAGGGTGGCGGAGGTGGGAGGGGGTTGAAGTCAGGAGGGGATGGAGATGAGGTGGGGCGAGAACACAGGGTGCAGAGTGAGCGGGGGTACCACGTAGCCATGGAAAAGTGAGGGGCTGCCTGAGGGAGCGTGGAGTGCAGTGAGGGGGAGGAGGGCAGAGCAGCAGCACCTGCAGCGTGAGTCCAGCGCCGCACGACCCGTTAACGGTGATGGACCGGTTCAGGTAGAACGCGCCCTCGCCCACCCGCACCACCGCCCGTCCGCCGCTCGCCTCGGCGCTCTCACACGCTGCGCGGAACGCGCCGTCAAACGCGTTCCACGAGTCGCTCGTGCCGTCCCCGACCGCCCCGAACCCCTCCCGCACGTCGAAGACGGGCGTTTCGGAGGCGTCCTCCGCGAGCGGCGCGACGCCTGCGTACGTCGATGGCCACTCCGGGGGGGGGGCAGGGGGGCGGGCGGGGGGGAGGAGGAGGCTTGGGGGACTTTCCAGGCTTGGGGGGTGAGGGGGGCTTGGGGGACTTCACTGGCTTCGGGGGAGAGGGAGGCTTCGGGGACTTGGGCGGTTTGGGGGCTGTAGGCGGCTTCGGCGATTTCGGCGACTTGGGCGGTTTGGGCGGCTGGTCGCGCTCGAGCGTGGCGGTAGAGAAGGTGGGCGCGGAGGGCGCTGCCGGGCGGGAGGCGGAGCGGAGGAAGGAGCGCGAGCGCGCGAAGGGGAACATCCAGGGGGCGAGGGAGAGCGATGACGTCAGCTTCGACTGCGCGTGGGGGAAGAGCGGTCGCTCATCTGCGGCGGCGTCGGCGGGAATAAAGCGGCGGGAAGCGGAGCCGAATGAGCGGGACAGCCAAGCGCCGCGCGTGATGCGGGGGAGGGACGTCCATTGCGCTGAAGGAAGGGGAGGGAATTTTGGGGGGAAACGGAAGGCGGAGGGTAGGGCGTGAGACGGAGCTGATGGTTTGCGCGTGAGCGGAGCGGAAAACGAGCAGACATAAGGGCAGAGAAAGGGAGGAAGAGTGCGATGGAGAAATGTGACACACGGAGCGGCGGCGCAAGAGGGCCGCGAGCACGACAGCGGGAGGCAAGTAAAGTGCGACGCACCGTGGACGGTGAGGGGAGCGAGCGCCGCGCACACAAGCAGCAGCACCGCCGCAAGCGGCGGCGACGAGCTCGACATGCCGCTTCTGACGGCGCGGATGGGGTGCTGGGGAGAGAGGGAAGGGGTGTGCGACAAGGGGGGAGCGTTAGCGTGCGAGAGAGAGGGCGGAGACACGAAGAGACGGAGAAACGTTTGAGGGAAGAAAATGAGGGGAGGGGGAGGGGAGTAGGGGGTTGGAGGTGTCAGTAGCGGGGGGACATGGGAGTGAGTGGATCGAGGCGGAGGGCGAGGGGGAGGAAACGCAGGGCGACGGCAGGACGAACGCGACCGCCGTGCCTGGGAGAGCGAGAATGCGTGCTCGCGTGGCACTCCCCCCGCCTGACGACACTGTCGAGGCGCGTGGACTGCGAGCGAAGCTCGGCAAGCGTGGCGAGCACTCGCAAGGCAGCGACATTGCTGGTGGACGGTGGGCGCGGAAGGGATGCGCGGCGACGAGACAGCAGGCGGTGCGCTGGTGACAGTGGGACGCAAGGAGGGAGCTCCACACGGCACTCACCATGCGGCGTCGAGGTGGCGGGCAGTACGGAGGGTTCTCGGGAGGGCTGCTTCTAAGGGCTATCCTGGCAAGTCGTTTAGATCTATTTCAGGCTACCGAGGATCGCGCAGGGCATGTCGAGACGGAGCGCCGGATTCCGACGGCAGTACGAGTTAGGCCAAAAGAGGATAAGCAACACAAGGAGCCACGGTGTTAGGCGCGATCTGCTTCTACTTTTCCTATCATGAGCCTCCCCTGACTTATGTACATGTCATTCTTCATTGGTGGCGATGTGTCCCAGAGTGGGTAGATATTTTCTTCTAGGTCCCTCCTGCTGTAGACCGTAGCGACTCGGATCAATTCAACTGCGACCTAGCTTCTGTGCGAGGTGTGCCACTAAGGCTGACTGCGGTTGTGCGAGTGAAATTTGCTGCTCTCGCCGCAGTCACTCGCAATTCGGTGGTTGTTGTGTTGTTCCTCGGCGATTGGCGACGAACCCAGGGTGGGCGACGGACCGGCTACTGTAGCTGGCTGGGACCAAGTCGCAGGCAGGCGGCCCGCATGGTTGAAATTTTGTGCATGCGCGCCGTCAACCGCGCGTAGAGATTTTGTTCAAGAGATTCTGCGCGTCGATCCCGGCGACATTCGGCACCAGCACGATGTACTGTAACCAGCAATGGACGATGCGTTGTCTTCGTCAATGCGAAGTCACACGGTGTTATCCAGCCAGGCGATTGGCTCGAATGAACGCGCTTCCGAAGGTGTCGCGCGTGCTCCCACCAACGGACACGTTGGGCAATGCTGGGCTTGGTAGTTGGGGTGTGGCTTGGTGCAGGTGTGGTCCGGACCATAGCACGCTGGAGCCGTAATCACAAGCTATCCGGACCGGATGATGAGCCTTGTATTTTAGCCAAACCACGTCCCTTCGTACCGAACCTGTCTGTTCAAGCATGCGGTACTGCCCTGGAGTTCCATCCCCCGAGCTTAGTGAGCCCTAAGGATGTGGTACATACAGTTCCGGAACTGGCACCTGTCCGGACAATATATGGTAACTTTTATCGTTGTTCCTCGCGAATATTGTCGCCCAATCATTAGCGACAAGTACCACAAACGCAAAGAAACAGGTTACCGCCCCGTCCAGACAGACTGTCCGAACGGCCTCCCTTGCATGTGTGAATGGTCTAGCAATTTTCTCCCTGACGAAATTAGCGAGCGGTTAATCCTGTCACCCTGCTCACGGCGATCGAAGCGCGAAATAAAATGCAAATCAGCCAACCAGAAGAAGCCTCGCCACAAAGCTGACAATGACAATGATGGCCTATGACGAATTATCGGCGTAACTCTGTTCAGTTCGACATTTCGCCATACACCACTGTCCGGACAGAGGTACCATGTGAGTATTTGACGGTCTTGAGTTTCGGAACTGGATGTACCAACTTCGTCCGCTATTTTGCGTATTTGTTTTCGGAACTCAGTTCGTGATTCACTTTTGGAAGTGTATGTACCACGCCCTAACAGCGGAACTGGTGGCTCTGTTGTTCTGACCACAACCGCTATAACTCTCGGACAGCAGGCTCAACACCGAGCCTGTTAATCCAAGCCTCAACAGGTACTTCGGATTCGGTGGCCCGTGTTGCGGAACCCACAAACCAGCCCAGGCACGCGCCTCTAGCCAATTTGCTAGCGCCCAGGGCACTTTGCGTACGGGCCGCGCATCTTTTTGGCCTGGTCTGGCAGGGCTAGACGGGCAACAACCATTGTCTCTTGTACAGTGGGAGTACAGTTATACGAAACTGTAATGAAGCGCAAGAGCGTGTGTAGAATAGTTGAGTAGTTAGGAAAACAATACAATGTGTAATGAAGCGCAAAGAGCGTGTGTCGAAGGATTGATTAACGGGGAAACAATCCAACTGAGGCACATCAAAAGAAAGGATCATGGATATAGTGTTGAAAGGAGTTAGGAGCCTAGTAGCTAGCTAGTCATGAGAACGATCTAGAGGTTTTAGCTAGAGAGGAAAGTTACGAGAGGAAAGAGTGGTAGTTGGACTAGAAGAGAGTGTTAGAATAACTGAATGATTAGAAGGAAGAGGGAACAAGGGAGATATAGGGTTTGACTAGGGATATATATGGAATGGCGGCCGAGGTTTAGCTAGGGAAGATATCGAGAGAGAAGGAGGTCGACTAGAAGAGAATGAGGTACAAGAAGGGGGTTGTCCCCTCTACAGTAGGATGCAGTTTGTAGCATAACTACCAAGCCTACAATGATATAAAATATAATTTTAACACACCCCCTAGGCTTGGTAGTCACAAGCCCACCCAACACCCACACACCCCCTAATCCTGTACACCCTCATGCTCATGAGCAGCCGGGTATCGATCCCTCGTGCTAGGCGATGACACCCCCGGACGAGAGGCAGCTGGCGGCAACTGCGGCGGCTGAGGGCACTCGGCGGTGTGGCACGACCAGGCGATGACCGAGCCGAAGACAGCAGCTGCGGCAGGAGAAAGAGAACACCCCCATGCCCTTTAGCAGCCGGGTATCTACCCCCGTGACACCCCGGGCGAGAGGCAGCGGGCAACGGCCATGGCTGAAGGCTCTTGTTAGGTGTCACGGCGAGGAGACGAGCCTCGGTAGAAGTCGGCAGCTGCGGCTAGAATGAGGGGTGATGTAGAGGAGAGGGCGCTGGCTGGCGTGTGGGCGGCGGCAGTGTCACCGGCGTCGCACGGTCGGCTGCAGCCCGACGTCACCGTCAAAGAGCGGCGCCGATGCTGCAGCGGGACATCGACGCCACGACGTCAGCGCGACGGCGCCGTCACGCCGCCACGGCCGGACGTCGACGGTGTCGCCACGGCTGTGTGCTACGACGGCCGCACCAAGTGGTGCGCGACGGCAACAGGCCGACGACACAGCCGCGGCTGTTCGTCGATGCTGGGACGACACCACACAAAGGCCGCCGCGGCATCTTGGGAAAGATGCCACGGCGGCAGGCAGCAAGAAGGCCGCGACGACGTCGAACAGGGAAGTACGCAGCGGAAGCGTAATGAGCAGGCCTGGGACGGGCGGCCTGCTCTGTTACCATGTCTTGAAGTGAGCTAACAAGAAAGGAGAAGGCTGCCATGGAATGGCGTCCGAGGTTTAGCTAGGGAAGATATCGAGAGAGAAGGAGGCCGACTAGAAGAGAATGAGGTACAAGAAAGGGGTTGTCCCCTCTACAGTAGGATGCAATTTGTAGCATAACTACCAAGCCTACAATTAGATAAAATATAATTTTAACAGACACACCCCCTAACCTAGATAAGGGGTAGTGCTGAGCAAGAAGCATACAGCTCAGGGTGGCACTACTAATCCAACCTCTGAGACAGGGGTCCGAAGATCAGTCAGCAAGAGTACAAACCAGACAGGAGCAAACCAGGGTGGCACTACTAGTCCGGCCACTGGAAGAGAAGCAACAAGGCCTGTCTGAAAGATATATATATATATATATATATATATGTTTATATAAAGATGAGTACGCAATCAAGATCCTAGCAAGTGAGAGTCTACAAAAACTAGACCAAGCTGCAAACAGTGTCGCAGATGATCTTTAGGCGCAAGCGCCTTAGTAAATATATCAGCTGTGTTGGCATCGGAGGCCAAGTATACTACGCGGGCCTGACGGCGCTGCTGTAGCTCGCGCAAGAGGAAGTACCGCAGCTGGATGTGCTTCGCTCTGCCCTCAAGTCAAGGTTTCTGACACAGGAGGAACATGGCCCTGTTGTTAGCGTACAGGACCGGGGCAGAACTACACTGACGGAATAAACTATCCATATCTTGATCCTTTGAGAGGCTAAAATGCGTGTGTATTTTTCATACAGAGTCTTAAAAACAGGGGGCTTTAATATACTAGTATAATGCCTCATGAGCAAGAAGAGCACATGTCATGCAGCCTGAAAGGGCATGTTTATAATGCCAAACCAACAACCACATTCACCAAGTACTATTCAGACACTTTTTGGCCAGATTTGAAGAAAGTGTTCAACAATCCAAAATCAGTACCTAGTCCACCTTCCCTTAGCCCTAACCACTGCCTTCACCCTCCTAGGCATACTGTTGATGAGGCCCCTGCACACATCCGCCCCAATTCCATCCCATGTTCTTGCAACCCGCTCCCAAGTCTGGAGCATCCCTGTGGGGGGGTGCTCATACTTGGCAAGCTCCCTTTTGAGGTGTGCCCACAGGTGCTCGATGGGGTTGAGATCTGGGAGGAGAAGGCCACATGAGGACAGCATACGGCCTGCTCAGCCAGCCATGCTTGCACAAGGGCGGCTCTTGTGCTTGGGGTCGTTGTCATGCTGGAAAATCACATCCGAGGGGGTTAGACTATAGAAATCGATAGTTTGAGCAAGCTCATCATGTAAAATGCTTCTGTACAGCTCCCCATCCATGCGGCCGTCAATCTTAGACATATAGCCCGGGCCATCATAAGTCATGCATCCCCATACCATCAATGACCCGCCCCCATGCTTGACGGTTTGCTGAATGTGGTGACGTTGCAGGGCCGCCCCGTCGCGTATCCACGCGTACTTGCGGCCATTACTGGAAAAACGGTTGATCTTGGTCTCGTCGGACCAGATAGCCCGCTTCCAGTCTTCAATGGTCCAGTCAAGATGCGCCTTGGCGAAATCGAGTTGGTCTCTGATATTTCTAGCAGAAAGTCGCGGCTTCTTCGGTTTCTGCACGGCTACTAAACCGGAGTTCTTCAGGGCGTTGCGCACAGTTCTAGGGCATATCTTGATGCCGCGCTCTGATTCTAGAAGTTTCGCGACTTCTATGCTAGTATTCGCTCGGCCAGAAGTGACGGCTCGGACCAGTGAGCGCCTATCACGACCCGAGAGTACGCACGGTCGGCCGTTCCTAGGAACATTCCGCTAGGCTGCTCGAGCGCTGGGAGGCTTCGTGAGCATTTCTCTGTACCGTGCTTTTTCCTATTCCTAATGCTTT